AACTCACTTTCTGTTTGGTCCAATTGGACAACATTTTTACATCTCTTGGTAAAATTGTCCATTCTTGAATCTATTGGATTTTCTAGCGTTTTGAGTAGCATCTACTCTGACTGTCATTCCATATTCACCTCTTGGTGCTGGAAGGCATCCCAGTTAACCTTGAGTACATGTCTACTCTACTGCACTTGTATTATTTTGAAGCCGATAGACTGTCTAAAAGAACCGTTGACATTGGAATTGCAGCTGTGACCATTAATTTCTCACTCACCCAACAAATATTAAGCTAAGCAAATCGTTACCATTGGTGATTGCATATTCTTGAAGCTACCGTTGTAGCAAGATGTTATGCACTAATCTAGTTACCATGTATTCTAGATTGATCGACTTGTTTTGACCTTCAGATTCTTGAGTGTTCTTTTAGTCTTCTCGACATAGTTTTTTGCTAAATTCAAGAGGAATTCAATATAAAGCTGCTTGCTAAGGCATTGTGAACTACATTGTTACTACTTGGTGTGGAAGTCACTATTGTATCTCCTTGTGAGAAGTGTTTTATTTCCAAGCCTTGGGAAGTCTTGTTGAAGGTTATGAGTACAAAGTTGTTGTCTGATATTACGCTTCACCTTCAGACTAACGACCAGTCGGAACGAATTATCCGGACTTTTGTGGACATGTTGTGTTTATTCGTTCTATAGTTTAGTACGATTGTAGTAGACACTTATCTTACTTATCTTTGCTAGGGTTGCATGTAATTGCGGCTACACTTTCGGTTTTGGGTATGGCACCACTTGAAACATAGTACAGAAATTCTATGCATAATACATAATTGACATTTGGGTACTACAAACAGGTATTTGAAAGATCGAGTTTGCGATATAGAAAATTTCATAATTTCGACAATGTTGCCCGAGAGGGTACTACTTGAGCGCTACCGAGGCGCTAATTAGACGAATTTTACGTATTTCCCAATTAGGGGCAAGATGGTAATATTGCACCATCGGGAATTTGTTACTTGCTTATCAAGAGAACAGTGACTTGTTGGTATTACGGGCTGCATACCATAATATGGATAACTTATTCATTATGTTCGTTAAGCAAGTAGGCAAGTAGACAAGTAGGTTCTTTTACTTTAGCATTTGTAGTTATTTATTTATTGTTTGGGCTTAACCCAAAGATACCACACACTCATCTTCAGAGTACGTAACGCTATGACTGCGTAGGTGGAAAACTTTCTATTTTCAATGTTAATTTCAGTATAATTATTTTAACTTTATGTTATTATATATATGTGTTTTGACATAATGTTATTATAAAAGCATTATATTATAGTATTGTATTGAAGGAGGAGGAAAGTTTGAGTTTGAAGGCATGAAAAAAGAATCACTGCACTCCGATTGCGACGGAATGAGTTTAGACCCATCCACGCGCAGCACCCCAATTTCGACCTGGAGGGATTTCCAGCCAACTTCCACCATTTTTTCAAGCGATCCCAGCCTTCACTTGCTAACAACACACAACCTATGTGCAACCATTTTCCCTTCAAAAAACCGAGCCTTTTGGCTCCTAAAACGTGAAGATGACGCATAGTGTCGTGGGGTTCTCAACGACAATGTACCATTCCGGCGAGTTTCATCACCCACCACCATCCTTAATCAACTCCCCTTGGACCCAGGAACAAGACCTAACCAATTATAGGGGCGTTGGAACACCGATGAAGGAGAATTGAAGCTCACCCATTCTAGGGTTCCGACGAGTTCGTGGCGATTTGAGGCTTTTCTCGGCCAAATTGGACTTGGCCACAGGTATAAAGCCTGCTCCACTCATCATGATCTACATTTTTATGAAATTTGGTAATTTTTGGAAATAGTTGAATTTTCCTAAAAGTTAAGGCGGCGCATGGGTAGAGACACCACTTGACCTCCCTAGGCTAAAATGGGTGCCCTAATTTCATATTAGACATCCGATTGATGAAATTCCATCATTTGGTTATATTTACGTTAAGGGCCTCCACTTGGTTATTATATGATTCGATGATCTAACCATTGGATCGTCACCAAACTTAATACATAATAATACATAAAATTTAAGTATATTAGGAACTGACGGATCCGGAATCTGACATACGGATCTTCCCGGATGGATTTTCTAAGTTTGTAAATCTAAACGTCGACCGCCACTTAATTTTAGCAATTAGCGTAGATCTGACGGTTGGATCGTTCCGAAACTTTAGGATGTTGTTCTAGAAAGTTATTGAGACCCTTGGGAAGTTATGGATCGGAAATCTGAGGTGCGAATCTTCCGGATTGAGTTACGTAAGGTTGTAGACCCTACCGTCAATCTTCGACCAACTGTTGACTTTTGGTCAATGGGTTTCAAATCATTCTAGAACGTCTTTGGGGATGTGTTTTATGTAAGTTACGTGTTGTATTGATAAGAATTCTGAGACGTGATTTGATATTTGTTCTAGGCAACGATCGTTCGTGACATCTCGATATTCATGCTAGGGAGTTGTAGCGTGGATTTCAAGTGAGTGGGTCTTTTCCTTTTTATAGTGTGTGTATATATATATATATGTATGTATGATTGATTGATTGATAGTTTCCAACTATGCATTTGAAAAAGAATTTCTTACGTACGCCTGGATTAGACTAAAGTTTATAAGATTTAGCAAAATGACAGAATTTATGAAATATGCAACATCCTACTGGATGCACAGGTATGCTTATAATCTTTGATGCCATAAGTATATCTACGACTATGAATGTTAGTATGTTGATTAGAACTATCGAATCACGGTGGCATGCTTATATTTATATAGTCTGCTCATCATTGATGCACATTGGTGTTAGGTGTCAGTCCTGTCGTACAGGTTGCATTAGGCAACTCCGACTTGTAGGTGACTGCGAATAGGGCCAGTCTTCACGTGATTGTAGCACTGGAGCGTATATTATGATTACACCCAGTCCAGTTGTACATGTCACAATAAGAGACTCCGACTTGTGTGCTAGAATAGATTGATAAGTATCAGTTCAGTCGTACATGTCGCATGAGGCGACTCCGACTTGTGTGCTAGCATAGTTTGATGATCACCTGATTTTACTTATATTACTGTTGAGATTTTGTGATTTTGGATGTCCTGCCCTTAGTTATGAGATATTGTTCCGTAATGAATTCTTGATATTTTGCAGGCTACAGTAAGTATTTTTATACTATACGTAGTAAGTATATTTTGGAAATTATATTTGTTTTACGGCGAGGAGTTACAATGTTTTCAGAAAGGTTCTTATAAAACTTTATTTTCAGGCCCACTCACTCTTGTTTTTCGTGCCTCCAGATTTTAATATTTGAGCTTTCTTATCGACGAGGATTCGTGGCAAATCTTGGTATTGGAGATTACATTCAATGGTATGATTCTCAATCCACTATACTGTACTTTACTTATACTTTGTCATCACATGTGAAATGGGCTCATTCTCGCTCACAGCGCACTCTTTTAATTAGGCACTTTTAGGTTTAAAGTTATTCACTTATTCCACTAGACTACATCTTATAGCTTCGTCACCTTCCATGTGTCGGCCAGCACAACTCAGTTCGGAGTTCTAGTGGACATTCTGGGTCGGGGTGTGTCAGTCACACCATAATAAAATTTTTGTTAGTTGTTTTTCGGGTTGCCCCCCATTAGACCATTTCCAACATTTGGTTTAAAATTTAGGTTTTAACCCAAAAAAAGTTTTTTTGCTCCAATGGTTCTGAGTTAAATTTTAGGAAAATTAATAAAAATGACTTCAAAGCAATGTAGTAAGTTTCATAAACAGTATGTGTGACGATGCACAGCTTCTGCGCGTCAGTTATTTTTTTTAATATTAAAAATTATGTCTTTTTTCATTAAAATTTAAGTTCTTTTGTCATTTTTATTAAAGTTTAACAGTTTTTAGTAAAATTTAAGCATTTTTCCTTAAATAAAGTTATAGCATGGTTTTTGGTTAAAATAAATTTAGTTCAAGCCATATTCATGAAAGTTCCCTTAAATTTTAGCCCGAGAGTATGAAAGAAATAAATTAGGCTAAACTACTAGTTTGCTAGTTTAGATTTCTAAACTACATGTTAATGAAACCCACTTTATCAACCAAATAAGGGTAAAATACATTTTTGTTTTCTATTACATAAAAAAAGTTAAGGACAATAACGTAATTTCACAAAACAAACTTTTGTTTTTTTTAAACATCACCTACATGTGATTTTATCATCTTTGGTTCAAAAAATAAAAGAAAATAAAACCTCTTTCCTTCTCTTCCCACTCCTACGTTCTCCCTCGCTCTCTTCCTCTCTTCTTCAATTTTAAAAACAAAAAAAAAAAAATTTCATACACTTTGTGCATGGTCATATACTAGTAGTATATAAAGCGGGAAGGTAAAAAGGTTGAAGCATTCACAATATTGAAATTGCCCTTCGCCCTTAAAAGATTTATAAATAAATAAATAAAAAAGAAACCATGTATGGTGGTTAATAAATACCTTTTCTTTTCTTTTTTTAAATGTCATTTTTTTGTTAAAGTAAACAGTATTGGGAGTGTTTCGTTAAAATTCTCATCTAAATAGGTAAAGAATAAAAAAAGGACAAACCAAATGCTTAAATGGGACAAACCACATGCGTAAACGTGTGTGACAAGAGGCTAATAAGTTCGTAGCTCAGTCACTAATTTTTTTTTTTTTTTAGCAAACAATTTATTTACACTAAAGAAGAAGATGTGGACTTACCTTCACAATGAACTATCAATAATGTGATTCAAATTCTTTTTTGACCAGAATCGAACTTAAGATCTCTCACTTACAAGAGAAAATAAATATCACTAAACCGCACGACATACGATAAACGAACAAAACTGACAGATTTTCAAAATTCTCACAAAAAAAATCAGGCGAGGATCCGATTCGCCAAATTAATTCCATTAAAAAATGAATTGGACTTTAGCGGACTTTGACTTTTCCTTCCTTTACTGTGTGGTGTTTGTAGATAGATCATAGATCTGATAATATTCTTCGTCTGTGCAAACACAAAAACCTCTGCCAAGAAAAATAATCAGATCGGACCAAAACAAGTGCAGCAACAAATGTTCCGATGGATGCCTCGACGTCCTCGTCTTCCACCTTAAAACGTTGGAATTACGACGTGTACTTGAGCTTTCGAGGTGAATACACACGCCCGAACTTCACGGGTTTCACGAACCACCTCTGCTACGCGTTGAAGCACGCCAAAGTCAACTTCTTTGTCGACGAAGGCAGTCGAAGTGGATTGGAGTATCTGAGAAACGATCTGAATCAGGCAATCCAAGGGTCTAAAGTCGCTGTCATCGTCTTCTCGGAGGACTATGCGGAATCAATATTTTGTCTTGATGATCTGGCGAAGATCATGGAGTGCAGAAGAACACTGGGTCAAATGGTTATTCCAATATTCTGTGATGTCCAACCTTCAGAAGTCCGGACACAGACCGGTACTTTTGCAACAGCATTTCTGGACCACGAATGGCAGTTCTATGACGCCAAAGAAAGGTTACATCTATGGAGAGACGCTCTTACTGAAGCTGCAAATTTGTCTGGTTTTTATGTTAGAAACACCATTTGGTAAATCAATTTACTTTCTCATTTCCTTTTCTTTATTTTGTGTGTTTAATTTTTTTTACATATTTAAAAACATTTATTTGTATAAACCATATTAAGAAACAATAGAATGATGCTTGTTTGGGATTTCTTTGAAGGGATAAAACGCCTTCGGACAGTCAAAAGCGCTTTTGCAGAAAAATTTAGAAGTATTTTTGAGTCGTAGAAGCGGTTTCTAGGGACGTCCATGTCAGATGCTTTTCCAGGCACTTGAATTTTTAGTACAAATGTTAACATGTGTCGACTGAAAGCACTTCTACTCACGAACATAATTGCTTCCTACATAAGCAAATCTAAATGGCCCCTCAGTAAAATTCAAAATGGTTAGACATCAAAATTTGATGGTATTTGGCGGTTTTGACTAGTCAAATTCTGAATAGTTATAGTTGAACGAACACATCCACATCTTAAAGTTGCAGTTTGTATAATAAATCTAACTTTTGCTTCATTTGGACTTTTGACAACCAGGGACGAAGGACAAAAGTATATCGGGGAAATTGTCACAGAGATCATCAGAGTCTTGCACCGCATACCATGCTTAGCCACCAATCCAGTTGGAATAGATTCTCGGGTGCAAGAAATCAGTAATTATTTAGATGTTGGAGGATCAAATGATGTTCGCATAATTGGAATTTGGGGTATGGGTGGAGTGGGTAAAACGACGGTTGCCATAGCCATTTTCAACAAATATCAGAATTTGTTTGATGGTAAAAGTTTTCTTGCTAGTGTGAGAGAAGAGAAACTGGTGAAGTCGCAATACACACTTCTTTCTGATGTATTGAGATCGGGAAACATAAAGGTTAGTAGAATTGATGAAGGGACCGAGGATATAAAAAGAAGACTTGGCAACCAAATGGTACTTGTCATAGTTGATGAGGTAGATAGCGTGAAACAGTTAGAAGCATTAGCTATAAAACGTGACTCATTTGGCCCAGGTAGTAGAATTATTATAACCACAAGAGACCAACATTTGCTAAAGATACTAAAAGCGAATAGGATATGTCATCTACCAGCAATGAATAAAGAAGAAGCTCTTGAGCTCCTTAGTTGGCATGCCTTCAGTAAGAATTATCCTAATAAAGAATATCTTCATGTCTCAAGAGAAGTTGTTGATTACTGTGGAGGTTTGCCACTAGCACTTGAAGTTTTAGGTTCTTATCTATCTGGGAAAAGCTCAAGTGAATGGAAAAGTGAGTTCGAGAAATTGAAATGTCATCCTCGTGGGGAGATTCTCAATAGACTTAAAATAAGCTTTGACGAGCTAGCTGATGATGACCTGAAGGCTATATTCCTTGATATATCATGTTTCTTTACTGGAATGAGCAAGGACCATGTCATGAAAATATTGGATGGCTGTGACTTATATCCAGAAATCGGAATCAGTGTCCTCCAAGAACGATGCCTTGTGACTACTAATGATGATTTCACACTGGTGATGCATGATTTGCTTCGCGACATGGGAAGAGAAATTGTGCGTTTAGAATCCCGTGACCCTGGAAAACGCAGTAGGTTATGGCATCACGACGATGTGCTAGATGTATTGATGAACAAATCTGTAAGTACTTTTGCAACCAAATTTTATGTTAAATGCATCTACTTAATAAATACGCATATCACACACATCTAATAAATTGTATATGTTGGACGTTTCAACAGTATACAACATAATGAGTTGATTGGAAAGATACCCATATATACTACAGGTTGAACGAAAAGAGAAAAAGGAAAGTGTAGGAGATATCAAAGGAACCGATTGTATTGAATTATCTTAAATTAATTAACAGAATCGTGTATATGTTCTGCTCTTCTTAGATACAAGAGGTAAAATATAAAACCTGTAGCAGATACTTAGATACTACCTAACAAATTTGGACACGACACAACGGAAGTCTCAGCACAAATTATATGGCTTTAATTCATAGGTACCGGGCAGGTGATAGGTTTCGTGTGTATAAATCATCTTTTCACATGCAGATAGCCCTTTTCTTACTCAATTCTTTCCCACCCCCACCCCTTTTTCCTCCTCCTCCTCCTCCTCAATAGGGAACTGAAGCAATTCAAGGACTCACTTTAGATTTGCAAGAGTCTGACGATACTAGTTTCAGCACAGAAGCATTTAGAAACATGCATAGTCTGAGATTGCTCAAACTCAATTACGTCAAGCTCACTGGCAGTTACAACAATCTGTTCAATGATTTAAGATGGTTGTGTTGGCATGGATTCCCCCTGGAGGTCATACCAGAAGATTTTGATCACCCAAACATAGTTGTTATTGACCTGAGCTATAGCAAACTCACACGAGTTTGGGAGGATTCTGATCTGGTACGTTATGACTTTAACCAAATTATTAATTCATTCCTCTAGGTTTTCTAAACACCATCATCATGCTTTCTTTCTTATATTTGAATTTTGAATTTTTTTCCTTTTCTCTAACAGTTGCTTGAGAAGTTGAAGTTTCTTAATCTAAGTCATTCCCGTTACCTAAGACGATCACCTGACTTTTCAAAACTCCCAAATCTCGAGCAGTTGGTACTTCAGGACTGTAAGTCTTTGCTCAACATTGACCGGTCCATTGGTCAACTTGAGAGACTTGTTTCAGTAGATCTTAAAGACTGCTTGCTTAGGGATCTCCCAGAGAGTTTTTACAAATTGACATCTATTGAAACTCTTGATCTCACTGGCTGCTCAAATTTTGAAAACTTGGAGGACTTGGCTGGGAACGTGGTACTGTATTGAACTCAACCAAACTATATATCAAATCTTTTCTCCGCGTTTTGTAAATACCAACATCATGCTTTCTCTCTTCTATTTGAATTTTGATATTCCTTATCTTTTGTCATACAGTTACTTGAGAAGTTAAAGTTTCTTTATCTTGGTTATTGCAATCGCCTGATCAGATTACCAGACTTTTCAAAAATCCCAAATCTTGAGAGATTGATACTTGAAGACTGTAACAGTTTGTCCGAGATTCACTCTGTAGTACGATTGAAAAAGCTTAAGTACTTGTCTCTTGCAAACTGCAATCTAGCAGATCATGCAATTCCTATAGATCTTGGGGCTCTATTTTCGTTAGAAGTTTTAGACGCAAGAGGCAATGGATTTAAATGCCTACCTATCCTCAGTAGACTTAACAAGCTTCAAACGTTACACTTGAATAATTGCACAAACCTTCAGAAAATTCCATATTTACCAACAAATTTGGAAATCCTGGAAGCGGATGAGTGCATTGCATTGGAGAAAATGCCAAATTTTTCGGAAATGTCAAGGATGAGAGTATTGCATCTGAATCACTCCCCCAAAATCACTGAGATTGGGGGCTTGCACAAGTCATTAAAGTCCATGACAAGGATTCATATGGAAGGGTGCACAAATCTCACTGCTGAGTTTAGGAAGAAGATACTACAGGTCTCTCTCTCTCTCTCTCTCTCTCTCTCTCACACACACACACACACACACACACACACACACACACACCCAGATGAACGTGTACATGTATAAACATGCATTCATTACAATGTGTTGCTCATACAAATCTTAATTTACATGGTATAGGGATGGACTTCTTGCGGATATGGTGGCATTTTCCTCAATGGAAATTATATTCCTGATTGGTTCAAGTATGTTGGGGATGATGAAGTCTCGATTGTAGTGCCTCAAGGGTTTGGTAGTAATTTTAATGGGTTGACTCTGTGCTGTGTATACTCTTCAAACAAACAACCTGAGGATTGTCCGCTTGTCATTTCCGTTCAAAATACAACCATGCGTACTGCTTTGCTCGCCCATATAACATATGCCTCGGTACCAACTTTCTGTGATTATGAAGATCATTATCTTTGGCAGGGGCAATTATCGAACGATGTGCTCCGTTGTCGAAAGGGGGATCAAGTCAACATTTTTGTAGGGCCTGCTCAGCCTGGAGATAATTCTGCAAGAGTGAAGAAAATAGCGGTTGATCTTGTCTGGGACAAATTTATGAAGGAAAATATGGATGATTCGCATCCTGGTTTATATGATTTAAACCCACATCAGGATTGTTTGTCGGGAGACAATGATGAGGCACGAACAAGCCGTGCCGCATCTGATGAGAACCTACCTTCGAAAATATTGAGGTCTGATAGTATTGGTGGTGGTGATGACGAGGTAGGAGCAAGCAATGATTTATCTGATGAGAACCAAACTCCCAAAAGAGGATTGTTTTATTTTTTTTCAAAACTGCTTCCGTCGTGTGGTAAAAAAACCAGGTAAGTATTTGGTAAATTATAGTGCTAAAAATGCTTTTAGCACCAAAAAAAAAAAAAAAACTGTGACAGGTTGTTTGATACTTTTATATAAAACTGTTGGGACTGTGAAATAACCAAAAAGGAAATGTTGCTGGATGTATTATTAATTAGGGTAAAAGACTGTTTACCACTCTTATGTTTCGTGGTTTTCAACATTTAGTACATCAAGTTTTTTTCGTCCCAGAGTCATACCTAAAGTGTAAATTTTGGGACAGTCTCATACATCTGTTAGTCAAACTGTTAGTTCTCCCGTTAAGTGATGATGTGGCACCCTGATTGGACGCCACGTGTCATTAAAAAAATAAAAAATTTATTTAAATAAAAATAATATTAAATAATATTTAAATAATAAAATATTTTTTTTCCTTCTTCTCTTCTTCTTCTGGGTTCGGTTTTTTTTTTTTTTTTTTTCTTTCTTTTCTTCTTCCTCCTCCTTCTCCTTCTTCTTCCTTCTCTTTCCTCCTCCCTCTTCTTCTTCCTTCTCCTTCCTCCTCATTCTTCTTCTCCTTCTTCTTCCTTCTTAAGAAGGAAGGAGGAGAAGGAAAAAAACAGAAAAAAAAAAAAAAAAACGGAACCCAGAAAAGAAGAGGAAGAAGAAGGAAGAAGAAGGAGAAGAAGAATGAGAAGGAAGGAGAAAGAAGAAGAAGAAGGAGAAGAAGAATGAGGAGGAAGGAGAAGGAGAAGAAGGAGGAGGAAGGAGAAGGATGAAGAAGGAGAAGGAGGAAGAAGGAAAAAAAAGAAAAAAAAAAAGAAGAGAAACCGAACCCAGAAGAAGAAGAAGGAGAAGAAGAAGAGGAGGAAAGAGAAGGAAGAAGAACGAGAAAGAGGAGGAGGAAGAAGAAGAAGAAGAAAAAAAAAAAAAAGAAGAGAGAAACCGAACCCAAAAGAAGAAGAAGAATGAGAAGAAGGAGGAAGAAGGATGAGAAAGGAGAAGAAAGGAGAAGGAGGAGGAGGAGGAAGAAGGAAAAAAAAAAAAAAAAAGAAACCGAACCCAGAAGAAGAAGAAAAAAAAAAAAAAAAAAAAGAAGAAGAGAAGAAGAAAAAATATATATTTTATTATTTAAATATTTTTTAATATTATTTTTATTTAAATAAATTTTTTATTTTTTTAATGACACGTGGCGTCCAATCAGAGTGCCACGTTATCACTTAACGGGAGAACTAACAGTTTGACTAACAGATGTATGAGACTGTTCCAAAATTTACACTTTAGGTATGACTCTGGAACGAAAAAAACTTGATGTACTAAATGTTGAAAACCACGAAACATGAGGGTGGTAAACAGTCTTTTACCTTATTAATTAATTAAGAAAACTTCATTTTAAATCCTAGAAAGGATCATGTTTTCACTATTTGCATTTACATTAGTATTTTGTATTTCATAGTTACGAAGCGTTTCTATTTGCAGCATAGAATTTTTTCAATAAGTAAAAGGCATCAGAGGGGTTAGAGGCTTTCAAATATTCGACGCGTTTATATCACTGCTGAATATTAGCATTACAAGAAAAATGTTAAATTAATTTTATGGGTGATATTGTGGTTAGAGGCTTGAGTCAATGTCCTTGGTGTAGAGACTGGGTTTTAGAAGAATTTGGAGGTTATGGTGCTTTCTTCTTTTGCTTCCTTTACGTGAAAATTTGTCCTTCCAATTGAGGATATGGGATAGAAGTTATTGGAGATTTTGATTCATCGCATATATTTTCGTGCAAGTCATTCTTTAGCAGATTAATTAATAAATCATCTTCTCCCATTTTCTATCCTCTTCAGATGATTTAGAAAGCAAAAGTTCCAAGGCACGAATAGTGGGATAAATTTTGGCTCATGGTAGAGTTAATACTTGTTACGTTGCCGGAGCAGGAAGGTTAAAGAAAGTGCATCTCTATATTGGTGCATCGTGTGCATAATGGGAGGTGAAAGCATAGACTTCAGTTTCTCCATTCACCTGAAACCCAAAAGCTTTGGTACAAACTGTTTTTGGAAGCTATAATGTGATGTGCGAAAAGAGAAGGAATGTGGAATAGTTGTCTTATGACTATTGTATGAGTAATACGAATGTAACAAGACAAAAAGGATCATGAGATAGAGTTCGCTTTGGGACATCATCCTGGGCTTAATTATCATCTTCACTTGTAAGTGTGAGGTTTTATGTTCGATTATCGCTAAAGGCGAATTTGAACCAAATTATTGTTAACCTATTGTGAAACTTAGCACACCCTTAGATAATATTGTTTGTTAAAAAAAAAATTAAGAGAAATGCCAAGGGGATTTGTTAGGCTCAGCACACCCCTTCGATATGGTGGCCTACAGCTAGACTTGATATTTTTAAGGGTAAAGTACAAAAAACTACCTCAACTATTGGTGTCACGATACTTTCATACCTCATATTTTTAAAATGACATTGTCATACCTCATCTTACGAATTTGTGTCAATGTCGTACCTCCGTCAATTTTTCTGTTAAGTGCTGACGTAGCTAGATAGGGGGCCACTCACTAACCAACTGGATTAAAATATAATATTTTAATAATTAAAAATTAAAAAATTAATTTTTTTTATTAAATCTCTCTCTCCTCTCTCTCACTCCCCCATCTCTCTCGCCTCTTTTTTCTCTGCATCCCCACAGCCTCCTCGTAACACTCCATAGAAAACACCGCTCTTTATCTCTCCCGAACCTTCATCCAGCCATCATCCTCTCTCTCGCTAACCTCCATCCAGCTGTATTATCTCATTCACCCCATCTCAGACCCTAGCCAAGCGTTCATATCTACATTTCATTTTAGTAACCCAAACCTTAGCCACAGCTATCTTATCGATTCCAAACCCAGATCATCATGTCGCCGCTAGAGCGAGCCCAGATCGTCTTCCTCCCCACCGTCCAAGTAAAAACAACTCAACCATCAAAGATTCGAACCCCAATCGTTTGTATCCACCAATGACCAACCCCTTAATCAAAATCTAATAAGTAGTTAAGGAAGGGTTGAAAGGGGTATCAGGCTTCTGGGGACTGTTGGATGAAGACGACGACAGGGAGTGATGGACGACGTCAGCTCCACACGGCTGAACCCCTTTAGCGTTGTTTTGATTGCTGAGTTTAGAAGTGCCTTCTCGGGGTCATGGATTTGATCGACGATGCAAGGAGAGGCAATATGGTGGACGCCGGAGTAGCCATTAACAGCGACGATTTCTCCGGCTTCCCTCGGAGTTTCTTTCCCGCTTGTCTCTAACCCATGGTGCATTGGCTTAGAGAAGCAGCGATCCTTTGGAGAAGGAAGTTGCGACGGCTTAGGAAGGGCAGTGCATAGTGGCGAGGAGAATGAGAGAGACCTAGGCAATGGTCCCTTTGTTGCTGTCGGCAGAGAAGGGGGTGTTGGGCAGTCGGCTTCAAAACAACGCCCCATATTAAGGGTTAGGTTGTTTGATTGCCTACCCGTCCCTCGGCCCTTTCCCACCGGTCCCCCCTAACCTTCCTCCACCACCCTCTCTCTCTCCTCTCTCTCTTCTCTCTCTCTGGACACCCATCTACATCCCTCAAACTTTTCCCACCCGTCCCCCCCCAACCTTCCTCCCCCTCACCCTTTGTTCCCCTCGCTCCGTCTTCCCCAAACTCAAAACCAGAACCACCCAACCCAGATCCCACCCCGCTCCAAACTCAAAACTAGACCACCCAACCCAGATCCCACCCTGCTTCCGTCTTCTCTGTCTTCCCCGAATCGTTTGGACCACACCCAAATCCGACAATCCGTTGACTCGGTGGGAGCAGGGGGAAGAAAGGATGAGGGGGATGAAGGTTGGGGGGACGGTGGGAAGGTTTTGGGGATGCAGGTGGGTGTCCAGAGAGAAAGAGAAGAGAGAGAGGCGAGAGAGAGAGGGTGGTGGAGGAAGGTTGGGGGGATGGGTGGGAAGGGGTCGGGGTTGGGTGGGAAGGGGTTTTGGGGATGCAGAGAAGAGAGAGAGGCGAGAGAGATGAAGGATAGAGAGAGAGAGAGAGAGAGAGGAGAGAAAGATTTAATAAAAAAAATTAATTTTTTAATTTTTAATTATTAAAATATTATATTTTAATCCAGTTGGATTAGTGAGTGGCCCCTATCTAGCCACGTCAGCACTTAACAGAAAAATTAACTGAAAAACTAACGGAGGTACGACATTGACACAAATTCGTAAGATGAGGTATGACATTGTCATTTTAAAAAGATGAGGTATGAAAGTGTCGTGACACCAATAGTTGAGGTAGTTTTTTGTACTTTACCCTATTTTTAAACTCGACCCGTTAACCTGACCCGACCCGACCCGACCCATTAAAATTAGTATTTAGGTGAGTGCTTAACGGGTTGGATTGTTAATAGGTCAACCCGTTAATCATCCGTTAAATAATGGATCATTTTGGGTCAACCCGTGAAACCTGTAAACATCCATTAGAGAGGGCTTTTGTGTAATTTCATAGTTGTAATAGAAAATCTTGCTCTCTGTCTCGCGTTGCACATTCCTCTATGTTCTACTTGCTTCTAGGTTGCCGTTATCTCCCTCATCTTCTTCCTAAAAAATCAAGGTTTTACTGAATTCTACGACCCTCTCTCCGATAAGTTCTGATTCCCTTCCACCTCTTTTTCCATTGCGATTACTTTTTGTTTCAGCAGATTATATCTTCATCTATTTTTCTCAGTTTTTGCTTGAGCTTGGTTTTAGGTGGTACTCTTCAGATGAGCTTCGAATTAATTTGGAATTAGTTGATTTGTGTTTGATAATTTCGATTGCGATTATGCTTTTGTTGTGCAAATGGTGCTTTCTATGTGTGATTGGATTGGAGATTTTGGGGTTTCTAGAGTTTTGTTTGTGCTGCTCTCTCAGTTTCTCTCAATTTCCTTACTCAATTTCTTGATGATCATTAAATTACGTGACTTAATCGGCATATTTTGTGTTTTTTTCTCGTTAATTGGATTGTTTATGCTATTTGGTTAACTGGGTTTCAATGATATAGGCTACATGTGAATGTATTAGGGGAGGATATGGAGGCTTATCTTCTACATTCTCTGAAAATGCATTTATTGTCATCTGCATTCTCGTTAATTGGATTGTTTATGCTACTTGGTTAACTTAGGTTAGAGCAATAGGACTGTAAATATAGAGCTAATGAAGAAGCTGCTCCAGTTTAGGTGTGGCTCAGCACTTGTAGAGATAATTTATACGAGTATTCATAGTAGTTTTTCAAAGTCCCATTGGTATCATATTATAAGACCCCACAAATTTGTTGTGTGTGTATATATTAGCTAGTAAATTTTGTAGACATTTATCTCCATCTGCATTACCAGAGCCATAATCATAGAGCTGTATATTGTTTTCAATATGTTTTCAGAGCTCATATATCTATACTGACGCGTTCGACCCCGATAACCTTCAAACACTGGGTTTGGCACGTGCTAGCCGACACTCGAAGGTGACGAAGCCATACTAACATGCATGAGAACAATGAAGAAAGAACGAACATAAATAAAACTCGTAAATTTAACTATAATGAATATGCAATTGTGGAACGTGTTCAGAGCATACAATTAATCCAGAACATTTGATAAGGAATAATATAAAATGTACGAACAAAGGAATGGATCTTACACCGAGAGGACTCAAAGCTACCGATGCGGGAGTTCCTTGACACTGGATTATACACCTCGATTCTACGTCCTGAGGGGGCGCAAAACAAAACATGAGTGGACCAAGTTGGTATATAAGTAATACTGGAACAGTTATTCAACAACGTACTAACCCCCAAAGTTTATGAAAACTTAAGTATAATATGTAATAGGTTTTCCAAAAACCCTAGCATGCCATAAAACCTTCGTAAAACATATATTATATATAGTGTGCTTAGTAACATCATAAAGGCATATATACATATATATATGTATATATACATATACATATATATATATATATATATATATATATAAATCTTCATTCTCTCGAAGGCCCTTCGTCACCCGACCAAAGCCATATATAAGTATCATTTGTCTGTAGGCACTACATCTCCTAGCCGAAGCCATATATAAATATCTTCCGGCCGAAGCCACCTACACACGCCCGGCCGAAGCCACCTACACATGCCCAGCCGAAGCCAATATATAAGTATCTTATGGCTGAAGACACCAACCAAACGCCCGGTTGAAGCCAATATAAGTATCTTCCGACCGAAGCAACCAGCCAAACACCCGACTGAAGCCAATATATAAGTATCATTCACCCGTAGGCAGATCGTATGAGTAACCACTAAATAAGCACATAAAAACATGAACATAATATTCCTAATATATATATGTCTATCTTAAACAGAGTTCAGTAGCTAAGACGTCATATCATAAAACATCGTTCATAAGTATGTATATAATCATCAATCATATATACCACAAAGAACATAAAGTCGATAAAGCATGATAATTCATAAAGCGTGAAACCAATTTACTCATAAACGTTTCATAAAGCGTATCCATAAAATCATGATTTTCATGTATGCATTTCTAATAATAAAATCATGCATTTTAGAAGGGGTTCATTCACAGATACTTCATCGTCAAAGAGTCGTGCAAACTAGAGAGGACATAGACGCCATGAACAATTGCACCTAAGCACATAAAGGTACCAATTAATAAAACTATACTAAAATGGTTGAATTTGGGGAAACGGACGTCGGAAACGGATTCAAGACGTCGAAAAACATAAGAGGGACCTCGGGTACTCCTACACACAGCCACGCACCGAGTTGGGTTGGGGAAAAAGTCGTCGACGCCGCCGTGGAGTACCTCCGATGGAGGCGCGTGTGCTCTACGCGCCGGCCAAGGTAGATGCTGACGCACTAGCCAGGAAATCTAGGATCCGACCGGGTCGGGTTAGATCCAAGTCGGATCAAATTCTGAGTTGGGCCGGTTCCCACTTGGGTTTGGGCCTGAGGTGGTTAGGCTTGGTTCTGGGCTGCAAGGTTGGGCCTGGGTTGCATGGCCCTAGGGTTTGAGCCACAAGGTTGGGTCGGTTCTATGGCCCAACGAGTTGGGCCAGCTTAGGCTTTACGGGTCGGGTTTGACTCATTTCCAGGTTGAGTTGGCCGTTTCGAGGAAGAAGAAGCCCGGAGCTATCCCAGCTCCGTTCAACC